GGAATCCCGAAAGGGTGAGGACGCGAAAAGCATAGGATAACAAAAAGAGAATCGTTGATTCCCCCATCTTGGGGCTCTTCTTGGAGCCCTTCTGGGTCGCCTCTGGGGCTTCTGAGGCCGTCGTGAGGGAAGCCATCTTGGAGCGATCCTGGGCTGCTTCAGGGCCCTACTGAAGCAAGCCGCTGCACAAGTGACCTCGAGGCGTTGAAGCTTCTCTAGGGGGCCACAGGGGAACCCTACCCCTACCCCCCACGATTTCTGAGGGGGAGGGTAGGGGTAGGGTTCGCCTGTGGCCCCCTATTCTCCCAGGGAGGGGTGCTTCCCCCCGGCGGGGGTCACAGTTCCCGGGTCCCCCCCTGGGAACCCGTCCCCTGCCCCTCGCTCCCACCCCCCCGGGAGACACCCCCCGCCCCGGCGGGGGAGGGATCAAAGGGAAGGGGCTTCCCTTTGATCCCTCCCCCGAAAAAGGGAAGGGGCTTCCCTTCGGCTCGATGAGACGTGGCTCGATTTCCCTCCAGTTGGAACGGCGACGGCGACGACTTGGACGTCCTGGGGTCGTCTTTGGGCGTCCTTCAGGCCATCCTCCTCCTCCTCCTCCTCCTCCTCCTCCTCCTCCTCCTCCTCCTCCTCCTCCTCCTCCTCCTCCTCCTCCTCCTCCTCCTCCTCCTATGCTTAGCACGCTTGCCGTTTCACAAAATTGTCTAGTATGTCTCACATCTTCTGCCAACGCACCTATGTTGTGCATGGCGTCTGTCTGTCTGTCAGTCAGGCCATCATCCTGAGCAATCTTGGAATCCATTTCTTCACTTTGGGATCCGCACTGGTGGCCGGCGGAGTGAGCCAGGACCCTCGGAACTGTCTGCAAGGGCCCACGGGGCCCGTGAGCACTCGGCACCCCGCGCTCTTCTTGGGGAAGCCTCTTGAAGGGCTCCCACTGTGAGCCCGGGCCCGGGAGCCTTCTCCAATGATCTGGACCTTGGGCTGGCCCCAGCGCCGCCAAGACGGCCCAGGGCGCTCCCGAGAGGGCCTCAGGACCTGCCGCCTTGGGACTGCCTCGGAGCAGGTCGGCAGCTCGATGCAAAGCCACACTCCCCGGGCCTCGGGAGGAGTCCTGCGACAAGCCCTGAGTCTAGGCCTCCCAAGTGGGGTCGGTGCAGATGGGGTCGGAGGATCGCGCCGCATCGCCGATGCATCGCCGATGCGGCTCGATGTGGAGCCCGCTTTGCTTCACGTCGACGTCGTCGATGCATCGCCCACGTCGACGATGCATCGCCGGTGCATCGCCGGTGCTTCGCCGATGCATCGCCGGTGTCTCGGCGATGCGGCGCGGTCCTCCGACCCTCTTGACTCCGACCCTATCCGGGAGGCCTCTACTGGGAGCGCCCAGGAGCACGTGGGAGTTTCCGGAGCTCGAGAGTCCGGCCCCCTGGAGGAGTGCTTGCACGTTTGCCAGCGTTGGCCCCGAACAGTGGGTATATGCATCGGTGAACGTTGGCACCGCACAGTGGCCGAACGTTGGCCCAACGTTGGCCCCGAGCAGCGTTTCCTGCACCATCGATGCATACTCTCTGCGGTGCAGTCAGCGGGGGTGCCATCGGTGTAGTTGGACTACTTTTTGTTCGCAGTGAGTTGTCAACTCCACTGCTCGCGCAATCATCCCACCCGCCCACCCACCCGCAGCTTGGTTTGCAAAACCCGTGCGGGAGCGATTGCGATGACTGCGTGGCGCTGGCTGGCGCATCGGTGCAGCCGCGCCAGCACGCGCAGGCTCGCGCGCAGAGCGGCCAGCTAGTTTGGCTCGACGGACGCGGCTGCGGTGGCGCCGACCGCTGAGGACTTCAGAGCACGTCTCGCAGGCCGCGCTGACGCGCGGGCACATCAGTGCGAGTCGGTGGCTCGGGTGGGAGCGCCAACATGGCGACGTCGACAACGGCAGACACGATGATGATAGCAACGATGCTGGTGACCATGACAATGACGACGGCAAGGGCAATGACGGCCCGATGCCGATCACGCCAGTGACGATGATGGTGTCTACGCGTTGGTGATGAAGGTCTCTTGAAACGATTTCGACATGCGCGCGCGGCCGACGCACGCGAGAAGCCCGCGTGGTCGAATGTGATTAACATGTGGAAAACCGATGGTGTTCGTAAGAATCCAAAAGCGCGCACGCATATTGTTTGAGATCTTGAGTTGCAGAACCAGGCGTTTTTCTTTAAACCAATTTTCGGGACACCCGATTTTGATTTCCATACGGATACGGAGGTTTCCGAAAGGGAATTCGGAATGCGCGCGCGACGACGTGCGCGTGTGCATGTCGTCTAGCCTTTTTGCAAGGGGTGATTGAACATTGACGATTTGGTATAAGCGAGTGCGCACGCATAGTACTGTGTGATATGGAGGCGGGGGGTCAATAACTGGACTGCCTTGGATGGTATGAACTTATGTGTAGGGTGGGCGAGTCTGCAGGCTCATATACGAAAAGCACGGCGAACAAAAAGGTGGCCCGTGAACACCGTCGTGGGGTGGGGGTGGGGTGGGGGTGGGTCTTGCTTGTGTCGGAAAGGCGAATCTACGCAGCGCAAAGAAAGTTTGAAGAACTCGGAACCGCCCCCTTCGATGTTCGAGCACACATCTCACCTACCAAACCGCAACTTGTTGCCAAACATCAACTGGCGCAATGACGCGTGGACAGTTGGGCGAGCGGGTGATGATGGTGATGACATCGGCGGCGACGTTAATAGTGACTAGGGTGATGGTTGTAATGCTAGTGCTGGCGAGGAGGAGGAGGGCGACGACTACGTTGATGACGATGGCGATGATGATGGTGATGACGGTAAGGGTGATGGTGGTGGTGGGGATGGTGGTGGTGACGGCAACGACGGTGGCAATGGTGATGACGACGGCGTTGATAATACCGACGGTAATGATGACGCTGGCGATGATGATGACTATGACTATGCTGAGGGTGATGAGGATGACGAGGAAGTGAGCGCGCGCGCATGCTGGTCCTCCGACCGAGTCCTTTTGAAACATGCGTTCTATCGTACAGTCACCCGCATCGCAAGGATGGGCAGCCCTCCCAAGGGTACCCTTGCATGCCTGCCTCCTCGGCCCATCCCTCGCCGCTGTCGCTGGCCGTGCCCCGCTCGAAAAGCTTCGACGTGGGCGTCCAAGGCCCTTGCTCCCTTATCGCGCATCCTGACTACTTATACTGGCTCACTGTATCTTGCAGCGCGCGAGACACCGCGGGCGCTGCAGCGGCCTCGGCACGCGCGCGCGCGGGGAGGCGCGGGCGTGTGGCCCGGCAAGGTGTTGTTTCGAGGAGTCGGGCGGGCTCGCGCTGCGGGGCCCATGGCTTCGTCGCGCGCGCGGTGTCCTGATGCTGGTCCCGGCGGGTGCGCGCTCGTCAGCCTGGCGCTCATCTTGGCGAAGCGATTCGCTTTGATAGCTGGTGTGTCTCAATCCGTTGGACGCCCGTGGTTTTGGAAGGGTTTGGACATGCGCGTTGGCGCGGGGCCCGCATGCGCTCACCTGGCACAGGCACATCGCGCATGCCCTTGCAAGACTGAAGCGAGCGCTCCAAAGAGTACATTATGTTTGCCAGGGGCGAGGATGGGGTCCATGAAGGGTCCTGGCTGTGATGCGTTGCATTCTTCAGCTGGAAGGGCTATCGCGCATAGTATGTGTGCAAGCGTTGACTGTTTGGAGCGCACCCTGGGTGCGCATCATATGGGATGCAGTTTATGTGGGGCAACCTATGTGGTGTAACCCATGTGGTGCAAGTTCTGTGATGCATCTGAATGATGCAGTCAATGGTGCGCATTCGCGCACGACCACCTCCCACGTTCGAGCAACATTCACCCACAGCGTGTTGACCAAACTCGAGAAGGCGTGAGTGAACGTGCTCAACGTAGTTTGTTCGCAACTTTCGAACTGCGTATTGGCGCGCGCGGATCGTCCTCATGCAGCTCCATGATTTGGGCGTGCGAGTGATGACGTCGACGACGTCATCGGCATGGGCAACAGTGATGATAGCGATAGCGGTAACGGTGAGGACGAGAACGACGACAATGGCCAAGACGATAGCGACAGTGGTGATCAAGATGGTTGTGATGACGATGTTGATGGCACTCGTGATGAGCATGATGGTCATGGTGATAACGATGCCAATGACGGTGCTGGCGATGATGATGATGATGATGATGATGATGATGATGATGATGATGATGATGATGATGATGATGATGATGATGATGATGTTGGTGATGGTGATGACGATGATGACGGTGATGACGATGATGACGGTGGTGGTGGTGGTGGCGAGGATGATGCTGCTGATGATGATGGCGATGATGTTTGTGCCCCATGGGAATGATCTGGCCTTTGCATCCGCTTCTCCCGCTCTGCAGGCTTTTTTGTTCAGGAGTGAAGGGAGGCCTTCGGCTTTCTGCTGGCCACTTTCTCAGCCCTTCGGGAGTGGCCCTCTTCCGATACCTGGCCTCCTGTCGCCCGTGGATTGCCATCGGAGGGGCCTCCGTCCCAGCCTGCCGTGGCGGGCGAGTGCTTCCTGCTGGCCGAGCGGGGGAGTCGCCCCTCGTAGTGCGTGTGCCAGTGTGACTGCCACATGAGTCCACTGGCGGCAAAGGCAGCTGGGGCGCCCTGTACCTGTCCGTCCTCGCCGTGTCGTGTTGGCGGGCGCCTTCCTCTCTGGCGTGAGTGTCGGGCGCGGCCTGATCCAGTCCACGACGTCCGCGCGCGCATTCGTCGACTGCCCCACCACGGACAGTGACAATGGCCACGCCCGCGGGGGTTCAGCACCTGGAGGTCGTTGTGCTGGTCCTCGTCTGCTACCTCTTTGGCGCGGGCGAGGCGGCGGTGGGATGTCCTGAACGGGTTCCGCTGGCCCGCCTCGTGTACACCAACTGGGTCGTCTCTTCGCGGGACTTCGACATCTTCGAGGCAAGTTTGGGCGAGAACGACGGGCGTCTGCACGGGAGGTGCGGTGCCTGCCGTGGTTCGGGGTTCGCCGGCGTTCCTCCCCGTCTGCTTCACGTTCGGGAAGGGTCCCCGGTCGTACATGGACGTTGGCGAGGCGGAGCTGGCGAATATGGGCGAGTGGCTCCACGTCACCATTGACAGGTGCCCGTTCCCGCTGACGAACGACACGGTGCCGGGGGATGGTCTCTAGGGCTCAGCGGAACCTGCGGGACCAGTGGCGGCGGAGGCGTCGTGCATCCTGTTCGCAGAGAGGGACTGGATACGCTGTCCCCGTCGCTCGTCTTCGGACGCCTGGCGTGCCAGGAGTGGGGTCGACTTCGGCACCAACTGGAAAATGAAAGGGCCACGGTCGACTCGCCGCGCGGCGGTCCGCATCCACGAGGGGAACCATGAGCCTCTTCAGCAGTACTACGGGTGGCGCTACGCGCTGGGACTGGCGGCTTCGGATGTGGCGGTTGACGAACAGTGGCGGTTGTCCCAGCTGATGGAGGTTGTGCTGACGTTTGACTTTGGTCGGGTCGGCGCCCTGGTGGCTTTCGAGCAGAATATTCGCCGCCAGCAGGTGTGGGAGAGCGCATGTCAGGATCCCCTGCGCCAGATGAACGCGGGCCCCGCCGATGGCGACGACTGGCTCATCGAGCGCTCGCTGTCCCATGGGCGGTGAGAGCCTGCGCAGCAGCTTCACCGTGATGCCAGATTTGGAGGACTTCGTGGTGATGGAGCCCGCCACCCGCGCGGCTGTCCTGAAGGAGTGCCGCAAGGTGCGGGAGAGGGCCGCTCTGGCCCAGGGCATCGACACCCCGTCGGCGAAGCAGGCCGCCATGGAGAAGAGGGATGATCAGGGAGGAGGTGGTCGAGCTTGACCGTCGTCCTCCTCTCATTCTTGCGCCGCCGCGAGGGGGTCTGCCCCGCCTCCTCGAGGGCAAGCCGCAGGGGTTCAGGGATCGGCGGTGGGCGCTGCCCTGAGGTGTTTTCCAAGCTCCACATGACGCGTCATAGGGGCGTCCCGCCCATTTCTCTGGCTGCCGCCTCAGAAGTTTTGCTGGGAGGATCCAGCGGCGCTGGGCTTTCGCAGAGTCAGCGGCGCCGGCTTTGGCGCCGTCGAGCACAGGAGGGGTGGCTCTTCGAGGGTATTCGAGCCTTGAACAAGCTAGGCGCTTCGGAGGCTACTTCTTCTTTGCCCGCTTCGTTGACCGCTGTGCAGGTCTCAGCTGCCCGTCATCTCGCTCGGCAATATGGGTCAGTGGATTCCCTTCCACCTGATGGTGGGGGCTCCCTGGGAGCGTGGCAAGCGCTCCAGGGCACGCGGCCCGGCTGCGCGGAGGCCGCGCTAGCCGTCGGTGCTCGCGTAAACTTCGAGCGAGGGAACGCGTCGCTTCCCGCAGGGCGCTCAGGCTTGGTGCCGCTGAGTGAGTGCTCAATCCTTTTAGCTGCTGAGGAGGTTGCCGCTCGCGAGCACGATTTTGGAGGCAACCTCTTCCTGGATCCTGTCCTTCGGGGTCAGCCTAGACTTTTCGGAGAGTTCGCTGCTGAACTCTGGGGCGCTGGCGTCTCGGAGGCTTGCGAGGATGGCTCGAATAGGGTGGCATGTTTTTCGCGCGCAAGAAATCTGGCGCACTCCGAAGGATCTGGGATACCCGTGTTCCCAACCGTTGCTCTAAGGGGCCTCCTGGGGTCGCCCTGTTCTCGGGGGAAGCTTTTGCCCACTTAGAGTGTGCACCCCATGTAATCCCCGTTTTGCAGGGGGGGGGTGAAGTTTGCTATTGCCAGTTTGAGCTCCCTAGCCTGTGCAGGTGTTTTTTCGGCCTGCCCTTGATCCCCGCGGCCCACCCCCCCGCTCGCCTCGTTGCTGCTCTGCCGGAGGCTGCTCGAAATCGCGGGCGGGCTCGCTTCCGCGCCCGCGTGGCGCCGATGGGGTGGAACTGGGCCGCGGCTCTCGCACGGGCGGCCAATGCCCGCCAACTTAGAGACGCGACCCCGAGGCCCCGTGGATATTAGACGAGGCACCTCTCCCACCCCTCGGCGACGTCGAGTCGGTGCGCGGATATGTGTATCGATAGCTTCGCGCGTCTGCACACGGGCTCCGTCGTCGCGGACTTAATGCCGTCGCGGGGGCGAAGGAAAAATTGGAGGGGAGGGGGATCGCCCCGTCGTTGGAGACCGCGAGCCCCGGGGGCCACGACTTTTTCGGCTTGGCGCTCGCGGGGTCGAAGGGGGAGTGGCGCCCTGGGGCCAGTCGCTCTTGGAAGGTGAAGCTCGCGCGCGATCATCCACTGGAAAGCGGTGGGAGTGTTGCGGGGCAGGAGTTGGAGAGGTTCGTGGGTCGCGCCACCGCCCTCCTCTCGTTGGCCCCCGAGCTATCGCGTGGCATGGAGAAAGTGCACGTGTTCATACAGGACAGCTATGTTCGGAGACAACCCTTGTGGCCCTCGGTTGCGCGTGAAGTCCGCTGGATTCGTGCCCCCCCCCCCCCCCTCTGGCTCGATCTTGTATGCGACGTCCCTGGCGAGATCGGGTCTTCGGTTATAACGCGTCTGCCTGGGGCTTCGAGGTTGGCTGCCCACGATGCCCCTCGAGCAGGTCACGGTCGTTGGTCGCGTTCGGGGGCGCGCCCGCTTGCGGGGGCTGTTGAGTGCCTCGGGAGCTCCCCGTTCACGGGCCCTTGACCATGAGGAGGCGGCGTGTGTGTGTCTCGGAGGCGTTGGAGGAGGTGGTCCTGGATCTCGGGCGCATGGGGGAGTTTGCCGAGGTCCCCGTCTCTTTCTCAGAGAGGAGCTGGGAGGTGGCTTATGCTGGTCGCTGGATGGGGGGTGCCTGGGTCTCAGGCCCAGCTGGAGGCGAGAGCTCGGACTTGGACTGTGCGACACCTTGCTCGTGACTGCAGTCTTCGTGAATCTCGGGTGCTCGTCCTGGGTGATAACGTGTCGATGATCTGTGCACATGCAAAGGGCCGCTCGTCGAATCCTGCGATGAATTTCCAGTGTCGGATTTCGGCCGCCTTCTGCCTAGCCGTCGGGCTCAAACTGGCAGATCGCTGGGCGCCGTCCGAGCGGACTGCTCTGGGCGCTGCCAGTCGGGTGTTCCAGCCTCGGCACGGCGGGCCGCGGGCGCTGGAGAGGTTTGTCACGCGCCGCCTCGCGCCCAGCGGCGCGGCCGCGGCGCGCGGCCCCCTCCGCCTCCGACGACGAGGGCGATGCGGACCTGGGCTGCTTCAACACGCTGCGCCGGCGCTCCGGGCCTCGCTCCCATGCTCGCGGCGCGAGCGCTGGGCCGAGCGGCCGCGAAGCCTCCCAGCGCGCCCGAGCAAATAACAGGCCGGGGGGCCCCCGCGTGACAGCCTCTGGCCAGGTCGACCCCCAGGTCTCCATCCGCTTGGCGCGGACCCGCGAGGAGGTCCGACAGTGACCGCGAGGCTTAGCGCCGGCCCTCACAGCGTTGCAGCGAGGGCGGGTGAGACCTACCACAAAGCGGGCAAAGCGGGGCTACGGCGACGGGCTGGCGCACCTGGGCTCCTTCCTCGCCTACCCGTCGCTGCCTCGCTGGTCGGCCCCGCAAGGGGATCAGGGCTTGCGGGCGTTCGTCGAGGTGGCGCAGGCCGCGCGCCCGATCGGGGCGCTGGCCGTCATTGTGCTGTTCGTGACGCAACTGCGGTCGCTCTCGCTGCTGAGCCTCTCGGCGGCGCCACTCATCCTCCCTTCGAGCCCAGAGGGGCCTGGAACCTACCGGGTCTTCGGGGTGCACATTGTGGAGCTCGGCCGCCCGTTAGAGACGCGGGAGTTCGACTTTAGGGCGCTGCTGGGCCTCGCCCAGTCCGAGCGCCTGCTCGACGTCAGCTCCAGGCAGCTGCGCCGCTCCTTTGCGGGCGCAATGGAGCCGCTGGGGGCCCACTCGGCGGGGCCGACATTCTACGCGCGGTGGCAAGGGCGAGCCAGTCACGACCTCCTCGCGCAGGCGCGCTCGCTCGCCGAGGGGCAGCAGCCGGGGCACTGGCACAGCCCCCGCATTGTGGCTCGGTGCGACTGGCCTGCCAGGGCCCCCTTGCAGCACGGCATCGCGCCCTCCGCCGCGCGCTGCGCGAGGCCCTTGCGCGGCCGCAGCCTGCGTTGCGGAGAGTGTTCCTAGATGTGCCCCCTGGTTCGAGGGGCTTGGCGCGCGCCCTGGCGCGCCGTAATGTCGCGGTCGCGTGCGTCGACACTGTCCACGGGGCTCAGCATGACCTATTGTGCGACGATGTCTTTCGCGCGCTGATGGGTTGGATTCGATCAGGCGTTGTGTCAGGACTGTGGTCAGGGACCCCGTGCCAGTCGTTCTCGGCTGCTAGACGCGCCCCTCAGTGGTCGCAGCTACCCCATCGGCTGCGCACTCAAGAGCGCCCGCATGGCTTGCCACATCTATGCAACAAAGATCGGTTATTGGTGACAGGGGGAATATCCTGGCACGGCGTAGCGGGTCGTTGCTCCAATATTGCATTGATCGTGGTATTCTTTGCCGTGCAGAGAATCCAGCTCAATATTTTCTCTGGTCAGTACACGATCGACCCATTCATTGTCAACACAAGGCGTGTACACAATATGTAGTTGACTACTGCGCGTTTGGTGCAGCCTGGCGTGCGCGGACCAGGCTCCATCTGTTTCATCATAAATGCCTTGTCCTTCTGCGAGCGAAATGTCTGGGTCGCAGTGGATGCATGTTCTCCTGGAAATCGCATCTTCAATTCGATGGGCCTACTGGCTCAGGAAATTTTCTCACTCGGCAAAGACAGGTTTATCCCGAGAAGCTCTGTGAGGTATTATCCTTGGTTTCGCTGCCTCCCTTAGCCTCTTGCGCGTCCATGCCCTGTGGCCGTTCTCGCCTCCTCTGCCCCCTCTCGCCCCTCCTAATTCGGGGGCCTCGGGGGGGGAGGGATTTCCATCGACAAGATTGTTGTAGGTCTTTGCGTCGAATAAATTCGCCAGGCCAGTGCTGATTGCGGGAGCCTTAAGGTGGGCAGCGTCGATTGCTTGTGCTCGCTCGGTCTCCGCAAGCAGTATTTTGGAAAAGAGCAGCCAGCGTCATGTTTGTGCCCCGCGGGAGTGATCTGGCCTTTGCATCCGCTTCTTCCGCTCTGCAGGCTTTTTGGTTCATCCAGAACCCTCCCACCCCCGAAAAGCTGGGGCAGCGTCGATTGCGCGTGCTCACTCGGAAGAGAACAGCCAGCATCATGATGATGCTGATGATGATGATACTGGTAACGATGATGATGATGATGCTGATGATGATGATGATGATGGCGGTGGTGGTGCTACTGGTGATGATGGTGATGACGATGGTGCTGATGAGGATGATTCAGGAAGTGCGCGCGCAGAAGCCCTGACAGCTGTCTTATTTAGTCGACGTTTCATTTAGTTTGAACGCCTGCATCTTGCAATGCTCAGGGAACCAATGTTTTGGTAATGATTTCGACATGCGCGAACGGGGATGCGCGAACGGGGACGCGAGCGTGTGGCGCGCATGTGTGTTTTGTTAGAAGGACTGGTGGGCGCGATGATTGTTGGACGATTTCAACATGTGCGCACGTGTGGCCCGCATGGTTTGATTCAAATGAATGGCAAATGACCGGATGACACTCGACCGAACATACATCTTATTCGGATCATGTCAGCGGGTGCGCGCGCAGGTACATGTTTCCTGTTGAAAGACGTGTTTTGATAGCTTTGGCTTAAATTTCATTGGAAGCCAATGGTTCTGAACATATTACCACGTGTGCGAACGTTTTTTGGCCACGTGAATTTATTTGAGAAGGGTCCTTACAAACCGAACTTGTTAGATCAATGCGGTACCGAGTTTCTTGCCAGCAATCGACACAAAGGGGGTGTCAATACAGGCATCCTGCGCATGGTATGTTTGGACATGCTTAGCTAGCGGCCGTGCAGCATGAGCCTGCAAACGCAGTACAAAACATGTATCGGGAATTCCGGCCGCGGCACGGGGCATCGTCCAAGACTGCGCGGACGAATGAGCACACGTGGTGCAGTCCATGCGGCGCAAGCTGTGTGGTTCAGTCCGTGTGATGCACGTGGTGTCGGTTCTGTGGCGTGCTGCACGTCGTGCAGCACCTGTGGTGCAACCCGTGTCATGCAACACCTGTGGCACAAGCTTGGCGTCACCAGCGGGGCCCAGGCGCGCCCGGCGCGCGCGATGAATGGCCTCGCGCGTGGGGAGCCAGGCGGCGCGGCCGCGGCGCAGGAGAGGCCGAAGGCGGGCGGCCAGCGAGGGCCATCGAGGGGACGGGGGGCGCAGGAGGGGAGGAGGAGGGGACGGAGGAGGGGGAGGGGGAGCAGGAGGAGGGGAAGGAGGGGGAGGAGGGGGAGGAGGCGAGGAGGAGGGGGAGGAGGGGGAGGAGGGGAAGGAGGGGGAGGGGAAGGAGGGGGAGGGGAAGGAGGGGAAGGAGCAGGAGGGGGAGGAGGGGAAGAAGGGGAAGGAGGGGGAGGAGGAGCAGGAGGAGGGGAAGGAGGGGGAGGAGGGGGAGGTGGAGGAACGGAGCGGAACGGCTGTCCACGAAGGAGAGGTCAAGCCTCGTCTGCCGGGCGGGTGCTGGTCCCACTTGGGCCCAACAGCCGACGGTGGCCCCATACAGGGGCCAGGGAAAAGCCCACGGACACGAACCCTCGGCGCCTTTGGAGTGCAGCAGCTCTATTGGCAGCTATGCGTTCGAGAATGTGACGGGGCAAGACAGGTGGGGACGGAGGGGGAGGTGGAGGACCAGGGGATGCGTCACCAACGAAATCCATGGCCTCCAGATTCTCTGCAGCTGCCGTGCCCATACGGTGTGAGCATTCAAGCTCAATGTGTTCACTCGGCGGTGCACTGGGCTCAGGGGGCTGTGGCCTCAGGATCTGTGCAGTCCTTGCCGCCGTTGCCTTATTCCCGATGATGGCCGGGCGAAGCGCCAATCTGACCCCATAGCTGGGGCAGGCACATCGATGGAGGTGGAATCGACGAAAACTGCAGCAGCTCCGCACACGCATTTTCATCACCGGGCATGGGATCTAGCAGTCGCGACTGCCCCAAAAGGCGTGGGCAACAGCGAGACTCCAGCTTGGATTGTGCGAGCACACTGCGTAGCTCGGGCGATATGTTTTTCTTTCCTGAGCCGACCGCCAGCGCTTCTCAACCTCATCCCACCCGACAAGAGGCGGATGCGCACGGGAGCCACGAGAGCAGAAACTTCCTCCAGGCGTATCCCTCAGAAGGTGATGCAATTTAGGCATACAGTCGGGGCCCTGAAGAAGGAACCATTTTCGTTGGGGAGGGGCTCGGTTTTCCTTGATTGTTCTGCAGTTTGCCTTCGGTTTTCCTGCAGTTCTCCATGGGGAATCGAAGTTCAACTTATGGGAGAAAGGGGCCCCGTTCCTTATTTAGGGTTCCTTAGGTCAACGCCCCGACTGTATGGGTGGCTAGAACTGCCGTCGGCGCCCTGCCGACCTGACCGAACTCACATCGATCAAGACATGTAAAAGTGGCCGTTGGCATCGCGATGAGCGCCTTTTGCTGGCAGCGCATGCCTTGCCGGAGCGCACGTCGGCGCCCAGCTTGGCGGGGCGGGATGCTCCGTCCAGCCCAGTGCTTGCGAGGCCGCCGCCACAGCCAGCAGTTCAATGGTGGCTTGAAAGGGGTCATTCGGGACTCGCACCTGAAGCCTCTGCTTGGCAGTCAGTGCCGCCAGTCCCCAGGGAGCCTGCCAAGTCCCTAACGGCGGGGGGGGGCATTCCTCCACCTAGCAGTCGACAGCGTTTCGCATGCCCCCCCCCCCCCCCGATAGCCAGGACTCTTCCTGCGCGTAAATGGGCAGCCCAAGCGGCTACCGTGCTTGGCTTCGTCAAATCCGCTTTCTCCCTGTCCAGGAACATGTCCACAGCCAGAACAACCAATTCGAACCAAGGGGTCTGACGAGCCAACCGAATTCCAACCTGTTGCTGAATATCATTCTCCCTGCGCTGTCCGCACAAAAGCGGGGGCACGAAAACCTGACTACGTAAAATTCCCTTAGGTACTGAAGCCGCCAGAGGACCTGCAGATCACGTAGTGCCAAACGGGAACTCTAGGCCGAGGGTCAGGCTGCTGCTCCACTATTGGCTCGGGCACACTGCTGACACCATCTGCCGATTCCACCCTGTAATCTGTTCAGCACATTCTGCCACGAATGGGTCGGCATCTGTACGTGAATACTTATGACGGATCGCTCTACCATTGAGGGGAATGGGCCCAGGGAGAGTCCGAGAGGGGAAGGTAGTGGTAGAGGAGGGCAGCCCTCTGCGAGCGAGGTCCTGATTTTGCTGACGTTCTAAGTCGGCCATGACTTGCCGCTCCTCAGCGCTAAGCGGGGGCATGTGGCGTATGCAAAAACCGAGACACGAAGGCTTCCATGACGCAATTGTGTCTGGCCAGCAAGGCCTGTGACGAACAAAACTTCACGCATGCCGCGCAATGTTGTGTGTTCAGACGCGCGCGCACCAACGTCGTGACCGTGAAATGCATGGCGCGCGCCTGTGCATGTTAAGAACGCATGATGTGAAAGCTCTGTGGGCAAAAATGGCATGTTATGGCCAGGGGTCTGGCTGCCTGCTGATCCTTTCGACTTGGCAAGCCTGCTGCTGTCAACGTGGCCATGACCCTAGGCTCCCAATCTTGCGCCTTGACGTCCCTCTGGAGTCCTGGCCGCTGAAGCGATCAAATCCACCCTCAGGGTCCTTTTCCAACCCGATGGCGACCTGAGGGTCACCACAAGGGAGGGGAAATTCCTTAACCTTGTGATGCGAAACACGAAGCCAAGAGAGGCCCTCTCGCACCTCATGCAGCCAAGACTTGCTTGGGGGTTGAAGCTCTGCCTGCAGCAAGGCCTCGAGCGGAGGGGGTGCTGAATGCAGCACATGACCGCACAGGCGCAACCTTGAAACTCGCAAGATGCGGGTGGCCAAGGGTCGATTCGCTTTAGCCAGAACCTCCTTGTCCGCAGGTCCGCCTGCCTCAAAACGGGCCAATCGGATGATGGATCGATATCGCTTGACATCCTAAGCATGAAACTTGGCCACCTCAGCCTTGCTAAGGTCATACCAAGCCGCAGACGCGCACTTCGCTGCAGTGACGGGCAGCGAGTCCGGGAAGGCGAGCTCGGGCGCCATGTCCCAGGGTGGCGCTTCGGCGACAGCCTTGCGCAAGGCGGATAGCACGGCGCCAGCCTCGCGGTCTGTCTAGACGAGCTCTGGACCCAGGAGCCCAAGATCGCCCAGCACTGACCCCAAATGCAGCGAGGACCGCGCCGCGGAGATCGCAGCACCTCCACAGAGAAGGTCTGGAACTGCCGAGGCCGGCCCCCCACTGTCAAGAAAAGTATCATCCTATGGACAACCGACCCCGCTCCCCTAACATCGATCAAAAGCTCCGTCTTGCTTATCTTGAGATGAGGAAGGGGCCCCACTGGGGCGAAAGCATTGAGCGCAATCCTACAGGAGTCAGGTCAACGCCGAGAACTCAGGGAAACGGGCAAGAACAAAAAGTCCAGAAGCATCCGCGTCGACCACGCCTGGAGCCGAGGTTGCTGCTTGATATTTGCCTCATTGATGATCCAATCCCCTGCGCGTGGGAGCTGCAGAACAGACCTGCCGCCTCGTAGCTGTGCCGAGACCACGCCAGTCACTTCTGCAGTGATATGAATGAAGATTGCGTCGCCGTGCGGCGTGCCAGGGCGCGCGCCATGATATGACGTGACCAGCCCCTCCGCACCTGGCACTCGAAACCGTCCCATTCTAAGAGCCTTCTCCCCCATGGCACAATCATGATCAGAAAGGCTTTGCCTGCGAAGTAACGGCATTTCACCCCGGCGAGCTTGTGAGAGAGGCACATGCGATGCAGGCAGCCTGGTGCGACGTAGGAGGCGCATGAGTGATTCTTCGGTAGCATAAGTCCTCAAGACCATTCTCGAATGTACGAGTAGAAGGCGCTGACAACATCCACAAACAGACAAGCAACATATTTGACCATGGCTCTGGCATGCTTGCGGAGAACCCTCGCAGACAAGATATCAATTGGAGCCCCCCCCCCCCCCTGCCAGGGATGCAAGCACATTGGAGATGTCCCAATGCGCCATTGAAAGATAGGAGGAGACGAGAACGAAGACATGAATGATATCTCGTGCCTATGTGGGAGGCAACAAGGACAGAGCGAGAGGCAGAGGTAGCATATATATATATATATATGTATATATATATATATAGAGAGAGAGAGAGAGAGAGAGAGAGAGAGAGAGAGAGAGAGAGAGAGAGAAAGAACGATAGAAAGATACACACACCCCTTTCCTTCAGGTATGTGTGGAAGATCTGCTCCTCTCCACTGTACGGGTTTAGACAACAGCCCAGCTGCCTCGACAGCCATGGGGCACCAAACTGAGGCCAGATCGGTCGCGCAACTGCGTGCAAGATTGTCGTGTAAAGCATAGAATGCAGATGCTGAGTTGCTAGTGGACCTCAATGCGTTTTCGAACTGAATGAAGGTTGGACAGTCCTCGAGCGCCCTATCATCTGGCAAATGAGTGCCAACCCTATCGTAGAACACTTGAGACAACAACTCTGGAGAGACCCGGGCAGCCAGCTCCTGCCGACCGAAGAACTCCAACCACCGAGCATGTGCCTCCTGAGCCGATGGCGCCAGATCTCGCCCCGACATCTGAACAGCCGGCAGGGCCCTCGCTCGACGGCGGCGTTTCTGCCCGGCGCGCCCAGAGCGCGCGAGGGCGCAGGGGCGCCCTCGAAATCCTGCTGCGTAATCCTGCCCAGCTTGTCCTGCGCATCCTGCCTGGCTGCCTGATCTACTCGCAAGACTAGAGGGCGTAAGAGCACGAGCTGAAACGGAGCATGCCTCGTGGCAATCAGTCTAGACGCCGACAGGAGATGGCCCCATTTGACGCCTCCTGGCGGCGCCCGAGCAGCTGAGACAAGAAGCGAGACCGACGCCACATCAGCCGCGGCAAGAGCCCCAGGATTCTTGACTTTCGCGCTCATCCTATTCTGCCACCCTTCGGTTAGCAAGGAACGCGCAAGAGAAGACGCCTGAGCTGCCAACCTGCCCAGCTCAGCGGAAAGGCGCTTGCCGGGCGCGAGGGCCGTGGAGCGCGCGTCCAGAGCCGGGGCGCGAGCCACTCGCAACCTAACAATACGCCTCCAAGCGGAGACGGCGCGAGCTTCTAGCCTGCAACCCGCTGC